TGTCTACTCAGGACGTACGAAAGACGTTACCCTCATTGAGCGTGTCCAGCGGGCCGCCACGAGAATGGTTGCCGGCCTCAAGTCCGTGGACTACGAAACGCGTCTCGCGATGCTTGATCTCTTTCCCCTGGAGCACCGTCGCCTCCGAGGGGACCTAATTCTTACTTACGCCCTGTTTGAACAAAGCTTGGCAAACAGGTTTTTTACCGTTGACCCAGCAAACACCCGGCGGGGACATAGTAAGAAAATCTTCAAGCTCAGGGCACACACATCCGTTAGACAAAACTTTTTTTCGGGTCGGGTAGTAGCTGCGTGGAATGACCTTCCTCCGACGGTTGTACACGCTCCTTCTCGAACCCGATTTAAAGCACTATTAGAATTTATGCGAAATTTCTCAGCATCGCTGGGACCCCGGGATTCCTAAATGGGGCTGAAAATTTTAGCCTGGCACTCCTCACTCAATTGCCTGATTGCTTTAGTCCATCAGGGACACGTCATAGCTTTCGAAAATTCAATTCTATTGTTCGAATACTGCGCGCCTAGTAGAAGTCCCAAAGTCACGTTGGGCTCAAGAAGCGGGTGGTCGCGATTGTATTTTAAGTAAAACAAACATTTGTGCAGTAACTTAACTGATTTTAATAGGGGGAAGAAATATGATAATCAGCATGAAAAATAGCAGTTTACGTGGCTTCAGACTCACTCCTTCTTAGTTTGTCAAATGGATCTGAACGCAATCGGTGACCTTGGGCGGTCACGCCGTCCGATTTCTTGAAATGAGTCGCCATCTCGGCTCGGCTGTGAGGGGAGTTCTGAAGATCACCCGCTATTTCAGTGCCCCTGTCAGCATTCAGAAAATTGTCCTCCCTGGAGGTTGTTTTGGCACATCATTTGGATCCAATCATCTGGGGTTCGTTTCAATTATAAAGCCCTGATTCTATATTCTCTGACCTGATTTTCATGGTTTTATGGATTATTGCAGGAGTGCTTTGCTTTTCCAGGCAAGGTCAATTGCGCTTTCCAATGCGGGGAGCTTTTGCTCCATACCAACGCTCTGTTTGTTGGTTTTGACTCGGTTTGTTCGATGCACGTGGAGTAGGTATAGTTATGTTGGGGATAAAAGTCGACAAGGACCGCCGACCTGAATGTTTAAGTATCACAGTGCCTATCTTCGCCACATCGCTCCGGGCCAACCAAACGAGAATCAAAGCGGTCAAAGTAGGGCGTTGGAGCCAGGTAACCTCGTGTTTTGAGTGCTTGTATTGGTGCACAGGTTATGGTAGGCATAATATAAATTAGAAGGTAGGTGAACTAATAACCATTTTACCATGGTTGACAGTGGTGAGTTGAAACATATAAAAGTAAATTCAATGTGAAATGTGGAGCGAATAAAAAGGGTAACTTTATTTGCGAGAGTCCCTTGGTGAAAGTCCGGGTGGAAACGTGTTTTATCCGCAGCAAAGCGGCTACACGTGTTCCGTGATTGTCCGTGGGTTTGTGGAGTGTGGTTGATTTCCTGCTCCCTGTGCGCGCGAGCCTGTGTGTGTTAACTGTTCGGCTTCCCTATATGTAGGTACGTTTCCCTGTACATGGGTATCAGCACATGACTTTTTGTCGGTACAGCCAATGTTAAATGAGCCACTTGTGTGACGTGGTTTGTGAGTGAAGAAAAAAGACTAGTCTCGTGATCTAGTGTGCGACTGTGAGCTGAACAGTCAAGGATATGTGTGAAGGTATAGCTACACTTATGCCGCTAGGCGTCGGATTCTCTTGTCGACATACCTGAGGGCTTCGACTCGATTTGAGGAACCATCCGCGATCAATTATTTGGGCCGATGGCCTGTCTCACAATCAGTTGACCCTAACCAAGGAATCTAAGTTCTGTACATAGCTCTAACGGTTAAAGTCTATGACCCACTATGAACACTAATCGTAATTCAGTATGACAACTGAATAGGTCGTAGCTAGCAGTACGACTGCAGTATATACCGGATGTTGAAGAACGAACGCGAAGTACGACCGTGGTACGAATATGTGCCTAAGCGGTGACTAGAAAAGTGTGTACACCGAACGAACGGAGCAAAAATCGTGACAAAAACTAAAGTGTTCAGGCAGAGATCGGAGTGTACTTCAATATAAAAGCAGATATTAGCAAGGCTAGTCAGAGGAACACTTAAAGCATACGTACCCTAGATAGACCCCCTCCAGAGGTGCTTAAAATGGAACGGAATTCGAGAAGACTTGAGAGCATAAGTCAGCGACGAGGAAAATTTAGGTACTCATTGTCCGGAATAGTGCTATGGGGGAACGCACGGACTAGGGACATCCTGCAACTGGAGTCTTACTTGAAAAGTCACCAGTCATCAAACACAGCAACACCAGTAGCGACACTGATGCTCCAGTGCTACAAAACGGCAAAGTTTATTTCATTGTATTTAGAGCCTTAAATAGAAAAAAATGGAAAAGTGGATGAATGATGGATCTGGCTTCATCCTATCGCAAGCATTCTGAGGTGCCTGCACCTCCAAGGGCTCAATTAGACATTCCGGAAAGAAAGTGACAGTATGAACACCAATGACATCCCACACTGCCTCCACTCAATCGCTAAGAAGAATCACCGGATCCCATTCAGGAAGTCTGATTTCACGAACAACAGTTAGACTCTTCACACCTCGTGGTTTGCGCGAGGGGGGCACGGAGAATAACGTTAGTCTCGGCAGACGGTGTTACGGCATGTGTAGCACGTGAACAAGCCACCGTACTAATGACGTCGAGTGTTTCCTGCGCCTGAAGTGTATGCTGCACAACCAAATACCCGTCTTCTGTCTACCTCGTTACAAATTGCCTGACGCCATCTGACACAAGCAGGGCTTCTGAGACATCGTTGATCAAAGGTCTCAAGACGCCTTACATCTGTCGGCAAATTTTGTCTTGCGACCGTACAACAATGCAACCCTTACTATAGCCTGGCACAGTCAGCGCTTGTCTGATGTGTTTGCTTGCATTTAGGAAAGCGAATATGTCCCGGTAAACTGGAGAGTCAGTGATAGTGCCCATTTTCCAAAAACTGGCTCGTAGCGAGTGTGGATCAGCTTAACCTCGGTCGTAATGAGACTTTTGGCGTCACTGGTGCTTCGTCGCCTTACGTTAGCTCGTGAAACACTGACTCGGGAGTAGCAAGCGGGATTCCGCCCTGGTAGTGGTTATGTTGATCATATCCTCACACTTCAAGTGCTGGGGTAACGCCGTACGTATAAATCACCCACAACTCTAGTATTTCTGGATTTCCAAGGCGCATTCAACTCGGTTGACCGGTGTGACACGCTTGCCCACCAAGGAGTGTCTCGGAAGTTTGTGGACGTAGTAAGTGCTTTGTATTCTCAGACTTCCGGACGTGTGAGAGTATACGGGGAGCTCTCCAAGAGCGGTGTGCGTCAGGGATGCCTAATCTGCATTCCTATTTAACTTCGTGATCGATGAAAAGATGTGTCGAACGCTTGAAGGTCTCCGAAACCCCGGCTTTCAAATAGCCTATGACAAAAACCTTTTCGATCTGGAATATGCAGATTACATCGATCTCGCCTTCGAAGAGGAGGGGAAAGCGTTGGTGTTTTTGGATGAACTGACCAAAGTCATCCTATCCGTTGGGATACGCTTTGCGCCCATAAAATGTAAGTTCATGCTCGTGGATATGCAGTCACTGAGCACGCCACTTACACTCCAGACACAAGCACTCGGAATTGTGGAGTGTTCTGCATACTTTGGAAGTTGTATTAGTTCTGATTTTAGTGAGACAGATGAGGTCAGTGCATGAATCTGCAGGTCTCGCTTCGCGTTTGCTAATCTGAGATGCCTATGGTCTCAATGGAAATGTGTATTAGGCTACACCACGGGTTGTTGTTATATGGCCGTGGGAATCGTTGTGTTTCATTAACAGAACTGAGATATCTTCAACTGCTGTATAACCTTTGTCGCAGCACCATAACTCGTGCGGGTTGCTGTCGGCCAATCATCATCATCAGCGATAGCATGCTATCAGTGTTCAACACTGATGCTTCACTGCTGATCCTTAACGGGGCAATTAGAAATCGAGTTTTTGGTTATGCAACGTTGACTTCCGTTGAAGAT